CGGTTCCAACAAACCTCCCTGCAAGCGCCACCGCCCCTCTCGGCGCGCCCCTGCAAATGCCCCATGGTCACCTGCCTGCTCTGGGGCTGGTGCCTCCCAGATAAATCCCCCCCCAGCAAATGCCCTCCCACCACCATCTGATGCACACGGGCCCCCTTGCCCCCTGTTCTGCCCATCCCACCTGCATGACGGTGAACTCCAGGCACAGCTGCTGGTCCTGGATGTCTCCTGCCGGGATGCTGAAGAGGAAAGGCGCGTTCCACACGGGGCTGGAGCCAGCTATGGACTTGGTCTCCTTGCTGTCGATGACCCGCCCGTCACAGTACAGCTGGATGACAACGTAGTGGTCTGGGGAGGGAATTGGAGAAGGTGGGGAGGGGAACTCAGCGAGCGGGTTCCCTTGTGATCAACCCCTAGGCAGACAGGTTTGCTGATCGGGGAGGAGGGACACAGCCCAGACGTAGAGATTCATTAGGAGCACGTTGGGGGTGGCTGACTACATGTGCCTCTGTGCACTTTTGAGGCCAGGGCTTTTGAACGTCATAAAAAGACACCAGAAGTCCTCTGAGCCTAGCTACTCTCTTCACTAGCTGTCTGCAGCATTGGTCTGGCAGGGTTCACAGCCCTTCTCCCGCCTGGTCCCGGGAAGGCAGCAGGATCTGCCACTGCTGGGCTTGGGGCAGCGGGAGGCAAAGAAGGGTTAGAAAGAACAAGGAGGAACTTGAAAATCCCAGAGCTGTGATCCTTTAGCCACATCTCCCCTGTACTGAAAAGACCTTCATTCTAACCCAGCTCCGAAGGGGGCAGCGACGGCCATGCTCATCACAGGCTCTAGTGCAGTGTTTCTTAAATTGTGTTCCACACAACGTCGCTATGCCGTGGAGAACAACGGAATTAAAAATGGCCGCCCTTAAAGGGACAGGTGACTCCCGCCCCTCTTCTCAATAACTTCCCCCCTGACCCTTTTTTTTTTTTTCTCTCTCAACAACTTCCCCCCTGACCCTTTTTTTTTTTTTTTGGCTCAACAAAAATCCTTGGTGTTTCTCATAAAAAAAAAATTGTTTGGCATTCCTCGGTCTTAAAAAGTTTAGGAAACACTGCTGTAGTGGGTGCCACACAGGACGGTGGGTGGCAGGCCGATGGGGCCTATTGCCGGGATGCCCAGACCCCATGCTCCAAGGGTTCTGTACCCGAGAGGGGCACCTCCCACAGCAGACCCTGTGACCTTTGAAGTGATACAACTGGATGTTCGATGACAGTTACCACCAGTATTCCCTGTAAGCTGAGTGCTTGGGCAGCCGCCCAGGAGCAATTCAGATGCTGCCCAGCTGTTTAGCAGCACACCACCGCTTACACAGCTGGCAGCATGTTTCCACGGATGGTGCACATCCACACATGCTGGGGTGTACATACATTTTATTCTGCACATTGGTGGAAAAAATTAGAGGGAACATTGGTCACCACCCTGATACTACTACTGATCCTTCCCAAGCACTACTGCCAAGGCCTATTGAAACCTGGTCTGCTCATCAGCCTTGTTGGAGGAGTCCCGCGGCACCACCCTACCTGGTGCCCCTGGCACACGGGTGAGCCGTCCCAGGTTCTCTGCCTTGCGGACCAGCACCTTGATGCGATTGGCCAGAGCCTGGTACTGGAGGAGAAGGAAGAGCTGGCCCAGAGTGGTGGACTGGGAGCATGCCGCGCCGTAGCTCACGTCAAGGGAGCTGAGACACTGAAACAATACAGACAGCAGGAGACAATGAAAACACACGCCACGCCCCCCCTAACGGGCAGGCCCGTCAGGAGAGGAAAGTCCTTCATATTCTTAACCCAGCCAAAGGATTCCCACCCACTTACTCCTCCCCCCCCCCCCCCCGATTCCCTCCTGCTCAGCTGCTCCCCGTCCAGCTAAGGTGGCCTTGGCTGCACCCGGAGCTAAAGGAGGATCTCTTTGGATCTGCGGCCCCGACGGGATGCAGGACCAGAACGGGCAGGCCCGTCAGGAGAGGAAAGTCCTTCATATTCTTAACCCAGCCAAAGGATTCCCACCCACTTACTCCTCCCCCCCCCCCCCCCGATTCCCTCCTGCTCAGCTGCTCCCCGTCCAGCTAAGGTGGCCTTGGCTGCACCCGGAGCTAAAGGAGGATCTCTTTGGATCTGCGGCCCCGACGGGATGCAGGACCAGACGCGAGCTGGTCTGGTATCCCACCTAGCAGGCCGATAGGGCCTGGAGCAAAACTGCCCAGACCCCATGGTTCTGTAAGAGAGGGGCACCTCCCACAGCAGACCCTGGGGAATTCCACAGGGGTCCGGTGAGGGGGAAAGCCCTCCCCCTGCTTCCATATGGGTGGACTTCCACATCTCTGGGGGCCTGGAGGCATCAGCCAGAATGACCCACCCTCCCCGGGTGCTGTTCATTCAGCGGCACCGTCCTGACCTTTTTGAGTTTGGTTTTGGTGGTCGACAGCTCCCGGGTGTAGCTGGAGGCCGCCTCGGGGCACCACGTGGCCTGGGCGCAGGGGAACATCACTTCCCCGATGAAGGAGTCCCGGAGGCTGCGGAAGTCCTTCGCGTAGACGGCGAAGCGCAGGGTGAAGCCCCTCAGCTCCTCCAGGCGGTAGTGGCCAAACTGGAACTGCTCGCGGAACTCGGGGTGCAAGCTCTTCCTGCGCACGGCCGTGCGCTGGGGCTCGACGAACTTGGGGAGCAGGTACACCTTGACGTAGGAGTCCCGGCTGCTTCCCAAGCCCTTGGGCAGGTGGGACACGCCCAGCACTGCCACTGGGAGTAGAACAGGATGAAGCGGAGCTGGGGCCGCGGTTTGGGGCTGGGGAGGCTCCTCGGCATGGTGGGCGACGGGGGCAGGCGGGCTCCCAGAACGGGCCGAGGCAGCAGGCTGCTCCTGTCAGACGCCCCGCAGAGGGGGGCCCGGCGCTGCCAGCTCTGCTGGCTCTGAGAGAACAGGCCACGCTTCTGGGAGCAAGGGATGCTGGGTAAAGAGGCCCTGCTGTGCAACATGTCCTGGGGCAGGGCGCCCGCCCCCGGAGCAGCCCGCGTGTCGCTCCCTGCGTCCGGCGTCTCCCCCTCCAGCTCCACACACTGTTGCTGGACGGGCACGGCGGTGGTCGAGGAAGGCAGAGCAGGCCCCAGCTCCACCCAAGTGCACGGCACCGCCGGCAGTTTCCTGTCGCTTTGGCGGCGCCTCTGGTGTCGACGCCAGCACACGGCGCAGCCCAGGAGAAGGCAGAAGCACAGGAGAGCCAGCCCTGCGGCGAGGAGCACCTGCGAATGCACTGAACGGAGCGGAGCGGCGTTACCGGCCGGGTCCCATTTGGCCGACGGTGCCTGGCCAGGGGGTGGGACATGTAAGTGATCTGCACCTGGCAATTGCCACCGCTAGACTGATGGGCAGATACGTCCTTCTGGGCCTCCGAATCCAGCAGCTCCCACCACTACTCCAGGGGTGGGCCCTTGCCCTAGTATCGCCTGGCCCTTCCCAAAGGAGGCCAGTAGTGTGATCCCCATTATACAGACTGGTAAACTGAGGCCCAGGGTGGTGACAAGCCCCACGTCAGCCAGCAGGCCGGTGTCAGAGCTGGGGCCCAATCCCATCTCTACGATCTTAGGATCCCGAATCCAGCAGCTCCCACCACTACTCCAGGGGTGGGCCCTTGCCCTAGTATCGCCTGGCCCTTCCCAAAGGAGGCCAGTAGTGTGATCCCCATTATACAGACTGGTAAACTGAGGCCCAGGGTGGTGACAAGCCCCACGTCAGCCAGCAGGCCGGTGTCAGAGCTGGGGCCCAATCCCATCTCTACGATCTTAGGATCTGTGAACCAACAAGCTGGCGGCGATGGACTCTTGGCAACCGCCAGACGCTGCACAGCAGAGCCGGGGCAGTGTGTGCAGTCGGTTCCCACACGTGGCCACGGGCTTTAGTACTGGCCCAGCTCCAGGTTAGAGGACCCTGGCCCCAGCAACTCCCTGGCTGATGCGCCCGCAAGGCTGTTCCTCACCCGTGCCCGGCCCTGAACAGTGCTCCGCGCACCCCCCCCCTGCCAATCCGGCCGGTGCCGAGCTGAGCCCATCGGGGCCAGTGGGATGGGCAGGGCGTGGCGAGCTGCCCAACCCGCGGGGCTCTCTGTCCCCTGACACACAGAGCCTGGCATCCCGAGTGGGCTGCAGAGGGGGACAGCTGATTGCAGCAGGCCTGGATCGCCCGGCAACTCGCTGGAAACGAGCCGGGCTGCCTGAACAGCCCCGGGGAGGGCCAGGCCGTAGCTGGACTGAACCTCGCTCCTGCCTGCTGGGGCACTGGGTGGGGGGGAGACGCCGCCCAGAGAGCGCAGAGCTCGCCTGGCAGCGCCTGGGCTCGCGTCCCCGCCGAGGCTCGGACAGCACTGGCCCCAGGCCAAACGGGGTCCTGCAAATAGTCACGCCAGCCCAATCCAGGTCTCCTAATCCCCGCCCCCCCCAGCTTCGGGACAGAGCCAGTTGCCGGATTCCGTGCAGTTACTGAACCAAAGCTGTGGGCCCATCTCTCCGCTCAGCACGTGCCTGGAACGGTTCGTGGGGGTGGACGGAGCAAGGTCAGAGCGCCGAGCCGGGGCGTCCGCATCCGCAGCGCCCCCTTCCGCCCCTGCCCCATTCCCGAGCGGAGCTGGAATTCTCGCCCCAGAGCCGCACGTCTGTGGCACCGCTGAAAGGAACCCGGCCTCGCCCTGCGCGAGATAACGGCCATGGAAAAAATCTCTTATCAGCCCTGCAGCCGAGCTGACGCACGGTTCAGGCGAGACACGTGACTGATGCCCGGTCAAACACAGAACCCTCTGTTCAGCCTCCTTCCCAAGCCAGGCCCTCCGGGGCTTCACTGACAGCTGTGGGGTGCCCCCCATCAGTGCTAAAGGAAGGGCCAAGGGCCTGGATGTAGGGGTGCCGTGCCCCAGACAGCAGCTGGCTCGGGGGGGAGTAGCACGTGGCCCTGCTAACAGCGCATGGCAGGGTCATGGTGGTCGTCACAGCTTCTGACCCTCCCAGGACAGCCCCGGATCCTACCCCACCTCCCCCATGTCCGGCTGCCTAGGCTGGTCCAGTGCTCGGGTGGCCAGCCCTTCCCAAGGCTCGATCTCAGTGGCTACTGGAGCCCAAAGGGGAGATTTTAGGCCACTAAAAGTCCAGTGGCGCAGCAGGGCTGAGACAGGCTCCCTCCTGCCTTGCCCTGCCTCACTCCCAGACGGGGGTGGCACATCCCTGCTGGGGGTCTCCATGCTCTGTCCCCCCAGCACCGGCTGCATAGCTCCCAGGGAACAGCACCTGCGGCCCACGACAGCTGCTGGAGCACAGAGCCACCTCCCCACCCCCACGCACACCGTAGGGGCAAGAGGGATGGGCAGGGCCAGGGCAGGCAGGGAGCTGCCTTGGTCTTTCTATGCTGCCCACCAGGAACCACCCAAGCTAAGTGCCACCCAGCTGGAGCCTGCATCCCTCATCCCCTCCTGCACCCCAGCCCCTTGCCCCAGCCCATTCATGGCCCTCCATACAGTTTTCATATCCTGATGTGGTCCTCAGGCCAAAAAGATTGCCCATTTCATGGCTGGCTGCTTGAGTATATACCCAGCAGGTGTGACTTGTACTCTGGTAGATGACTGCAGCAGCTCAGGCTATGCTGCTTATTGTTAGCACATGTCCAGGTGCAACGTAGTCATACCCTTTACATACAGCAAGTTACAATTGGATAGAGTCGCACCTCACATTGCTGTGAATTAAATGTTCCCATAGACAAGCCCTTGCTTTACTTTTGATTGGTTACTTGAATTGTTCAGAAACTTTGTCAATGATGTTGCTATAGATGTGGAAAAAACAACGGTACAAATCCAGTTCAAGGCTTATATTACTTATTACAATACTTGTTTTTTAATTTGCGTGTATATACACAGACTAATCTACAGGATTATTTATATACTTAAATAAATACTTACAATTCTGTATTTACATTATTCTCAAGGGTGAGAGAAAATGATCTCTAAAACCCTCTTAGAAATCTCAAGAATCCTCTTACCAGTTTTTAGTTGTCACTTTTCTCTCCTTTCCTTCAATTTATGATACCCACCCCACTAGAGAAAGAAGCAAGTTCAGCTTCCTAACAAGCAAGCAGGTCACAACGAACAGACAAATGACCTGCAGGGGAAGAGCATGCTAACATTTACAATATTCATCCCAGGAGCAAAGACAGAAACTGAAGTTCTGATGCTCAGCTGGTGAGATGCATTGTTAGAATGTCAGGCTTGTCTGCTCTTCTCTTCGTTGTGGGGCCGCTTGAGTGCCAGAGCCGATCCACCTGAGCTGCCCTGGTGGATCTGGATCAGTAGGTTCAGTGGGTCCCGTCGGGGTCCAAACTCCAAGCTTTGGAGTGACCAGGGCAGGGGCCCATCGGCCTGAAATATTTCAGGTGGGTCCCATGCTACTGGCTTCCAGCCAGCTTCCGAACAGAGATGGAAACTTTTAGCTTTAGTGCTTCTACCTTTAGCCTCATGACATTAAACGATTCGGGGGGGAGCCAAGTGAGTCTGTAACAGGAAAAACTCAAACAACGAATAGTCTAGTAGCACCTTAAAGACTAACAAAACCTGTCGATGGGACTGTGAGCTTTCGTGGGCACAACCCACCTCTTCACGACATTAAACGAGCCTGGAATTTGGACGCTGAGAACGTAACCAACACCAGGCCGGATGTACCGAGCTGGAGGATCTCCTGGGCGCAGGGCTGGAGCAATGGAAGATTCGGGAGAAAGCAGAAGGCAAAGCAAAAGGTGCCTGGCCCTCCCGGTCTGAAGAGGTGGGGTGTCCGTACAGGCCTTGGGAAGGAGATGGAGCTAGTCCTGCCAGCCAGAGGGAAGAGCTAGAGAGAGTCTGATTCTGGAGGGTGCACTGGTAGAGGTGAGGCCTGGTTGAAGAGCGATACAGGAGATGGAATGTCAGCAGGGGGGAAAGCAGCGGCCGACACTGTGGGACTGTGCTGCGGCGGGGTCTGAACATGCAGGTCTCGTCTGCCCTGAGCGATCTGTAGCTCCTTTGTTATTTGGGAGGCGGCCAAGCAGCTTTTACTGCCTGGCTGCACAGGGACAGGCCTGGGAGAAGGCGGCAGAGGTGGGGTGGGCGACATGCAAGGGATTACGTTGCAGTGCAGAGTGCAGAAGCTAATACTGGGGGCTTTGCCGCTCTGGGAAGGCGAGGCAGACAGGCCGGTCTGCCTGGCGCGGCTCCTCTTGCTGCTGCTTAGCAGTGCCGAGCCCTATGTTTGGGGAGCTAATGGGACAGGTAGGTGCATCAGTGGCAGAGGGCTTAGACTCTCTCCCATTCAAACAGCTTTCCAATTGGTAACCACTGACGCCACCTCTCCATGTGCTGTGCGGCTAGTGGGGAGAGTCTCTAGGGGTTGAGTGCACTGAGGATAAGTAGGTGCAGTTCTTTCCAGGGCTGATTTTGGTCCTGGAAGATAGTATAACGGGGGGAACCTAAGACCTGGATGCAGCCCCCAGCTTCCCTGGATCCAGCCCCCAAGGCTCAGAGCTCCCCCCCAATATTGGGGAGCCTATGCCAACATTCCAGCCCCGACACTCCACTGTGGGCTCAAGCACCCAAAATCTACTAGCCTGGGTGTCCCTAGGCTCTGGTGTGTGAGGGGCCCGTGGGGAGTGTCTGTCTCCTTCTCAGGTCGGGGGCCACGTCAATGAGGGGTTGTTTGATATTTTTGCTTCTCACTTGTGTGCGGCCCCCGACTGATTTTTCTATGGGTCGGCGACCCGACCCACAGAAGGTTCCCCGGCCCTGTACTATAAGTGGCTGGCTCCCTGGGGAAATTGACCGGAATCGCTTCTGCCATTCAGTTAACCTAACAGAGCTATTCGGGAATAGCAACCTGGCTAGACAAGCCCTCTAAGGGGCACTGCCCAAAGCCAACAAGATGCAGAGAAAGAGGAACTGAACGCATCACACAACAGGGCAAACACAAGGTTGCCTAGATCACATCCACATCGCACACTGCAACCCCACAGGTGCATGGAGCAACGGGGCAGAAAGTGGCACCGCGCACTGAGAGCCGTGGAGCGGAGTGTCTGGGAGGCGCTAAAACTGGTCCCAACATCGAATCAAAGGCTGGGTTCCGCGTGAGAAACAAGCAGAGGAAACACCCAGCCGGGCTGCTGAGGGATGGGCCAGAGAGCCCAAATTCCAGGGCGAAGGGTTTTTTTTAAAAGATGCAGACGAATGAGGGCAGAGAGCTTAGGAAAAAGGACTTTTTTGCACATCTACACCCTCGGGGATTGGGGAGGAGAGGAGGTTAAGAGGTGTGGTGCTACCCTGAGAAATGACTATACAAATGGGCCCTTATTACTTAGCAAATTGCTCTCTCTGGGTAATGGGAAAATAATCACCAACTCCTTATAGCCCTGCAGAGCCAGGAAGCCTATAAAGAAAGGAATTGGAGTCTATCCTGCCCTCTTATGCCACCAATAGATTTTCTAAGCAAGAGCCAGTTGCAGAACTGATGTGTGAGGCAGAAAGCAACCCAACTTAGATGCAGAGCTTTCTCTGAAGAGACCATTCTTATCATCCAGTCTGGCCCCCTGCCTGGCACAGGCCAGAGTCCAGTAGTCACTGGAACTTGGGTGCTTGTGTGGCCACTTAGGAGAGATTTTGATGCCGCCCCGCTGATTAGCAGAGCGCCCACAGCTAGGTTTTGTGTTTGTTGGTGGTGCACATTCACACATGCCTCAGGGCACATAAAATTTATTCCACACACAGATGGAAAAGCTCAGAGGGAACACTGCCAGAGTCGCTCACCCAGTCAAGAATGCACCAATACTTAAAGCCCCCTTTGCTAGAAAATCTGTTTACTGGCAAACCAAGCCCCGTTGAGCTGAAATTAACAAGACACTAAACACAGAGCCCAGGCACTCAATACTTAGAGCCCCCTTTGCTAGAAAATCTTTTTACTGACAAACCAAGCCCCGTTGAGCTGAAATTAACAAGACACTAAACACAGAGCCCATGATTAAATATTTAGTCCCCTCCCCCCCTGAACAGAACCCCCCTTCTAAAGAAGCCTGAACAAATGAATTTTCAAACACAGCAGCTGTTTCAAACCCCTGTGACAGGCCAGGTGGCACAAGGGTGACACTAGCCATTGTTATGCCCGCAGTGGTTTCTTCATTGTCCTTACTATGGACTCCAAGATAGGGTTTTGCTCAGCTAAGGAGGCCAGGGACCGGCAGAAGCAGGTCAGCCCCTCCTCTCCCTCATCCCCTCCCCCATGTTGATGTTTGGCCATGCTGCTGCAGGGACTAGACAGGAGGGCACCAGACCCATGTTCTAGTTTCAGCTCTGACACTGACTCGCTTTGGGCCCTCAGGCAAGTCACTTAGGATTTGGGATTTTCAAAGGCACCTAAGGGAGCTGGGCGTCTAATTCCCCTTTGAAATCTCAGCTCTATCCCCTTGCTGCCTCAATATCCTCATCTGTAAAGCAGGGAGAGCGACCCACAGCCCGGCTTGTACCAGGCATTGAGTTCTATGGCAGAAAAGCAGCTAAGCTCTGTTATTGATGGATTTGTTAAACAACACGGACTTTTGTTCCACCTCCAGCTCCCCATCCTAGCCCTGGCATCCTGAGTTCCTGTAACACTCCCTCCTTTCTCTCGTAACCTTGAAGGTGTTGATTTGGATTAAAGATCTGCCAGATCCCAGCTGGCACGCTGTCAGCATTAGACAGGGCTAGATTGCCGTCCTGTTCCCTCTGCCACTTTGGCTCCGCAGAGGAGCTAAACCAAGCCGTCTCCTCCTTGGACTACTTTGCTTTTCTAGGCATGTATCTTACACAGGAGGGGCCCCATCACAAAGCATTCCACAGGCAGCACCCTCGCACTGGACACCTCGCACACAAACCAGCGACCTCCCGCGAGCATGCCTGCAACGGCAAAGCCAAGCGCTCCCAAGTCCATAAAAACAGAATTCAGGTTGCCTGTGACACCTTATTTTGCCCACTCTTTGTGCATTATAATCTTCACTACTCAAGGTCACACGCTAGTTTTTCCAGCCTTTTCCAGGACCCAGAAGGGACGAGGCTCACTGAATGAGCAGTTTCCCGATATTTTGTTTTATGCTGTGTCCTTACGGCACCAGTCCTTCGTTACGGCACACACAGTGCTGAACATTGCTCCGGAGGCAGAATTGTTCATCTCCTCGTGGGCTTTTCTATGGCACTCTCTGCTCTAGCAGGGTGCTCCACAAACATAGTTCACATCCCGGGAGTGAGGGGTGGTAGTTACGGGGAAGGAAGACCCAGGAGATTCAAGTCAGAACTTTCTACTAATTTTGGATGCTCGATTCAAGACCCCGGGGGCCCTGATTTTCAGAGTACTTGAGACGTTCCCCCCACAGCTCACTGACTTCAGTTGTGGACAGCTGTGCTCGGCACTTCTGCGAATCAGAGCCCAGGGTAGCAAGTCAGGCTGCCAGATGAGAACCACCCAAGGAGTGACCACCTGTGACGTCTCATTTAAATGACTTGGCCAAGAATCCCACAGGAACTCTGTGGCAGACGCAGAGACAGAATCCAGTTTCTAAAGGCAGCATTTGATTCGACTCCTCCCTCTCTCTTCCTGCGCCCCCCTGACGCCTTCTGAAACAAGCAAGACAGGTTCCTGTAGTCAACAGCCTCCTTTGTGACACAACCCTAGAACAGGTCCCCATTCTGTGCACAGAAAGAGGCCCGTGAAAAGAACAGTCTGTGGTCATGCAATTAAAGACTGTAGAATAATGCATGCACACAAGGGGGCTGAATTAGGACTGCACAGACAACCTTAATTTTGCCAGTTGCTAACTTGTCAGCGATGTACTTTGCAGCCTCAAGAGTATTTTTATAACATAGGAAATTACACCCTTGCAAAAACCCTACTGTTGCGGGGGGAGCGAAACAACTAATTTCCTCCCAAGCCTCGCCCTTGGAAGTGACTGATCCAATTTCTCTGAAATTTCCCAAAGAAAATCAGCCAGAAACCCAGCATGGAAAATGCCAGCCCAAGTGGTAAACCTTTAGCAACATCATAAGCAACTGAAAACGGGGGTTTATAATGGAAAATGTCAGGCATCCTTCATACCAGGCAGCAGCCCCATCTATCATCTTTGAAGACAACAGAACAGTACAAAATCCTAGTTCTTTAATCCTGTCGGCCTCCGATTTTGCTTTCGAGGCAGCTATCCACACCCCTTCTACCACTGTTTGCAACCAGGCCTCTTCTAAGATCCCAGGACGCCTCTACATGGGTCCCAATGGGCGCCCCTCTGAGCCCTGCAGCTGTGTCAACGCGCCGGCTCCTACTTCAGATTCAGCACAGGCGTTTGCCTCAGCGCGTGTGCGGAGGCTGCAGCCGGCCCCACATCAGCCCTGTGCGCGGGAGGGCAGTTGTTCATTGTGCTTCCCGAGTTCGCCTTACCTGCTTCATCGTTCTGGCTTCTGAGCTGCGCGGGGAGGACCGATGCGTCCCGAGGCGACCCCAGGGGGGCTGACATGGGGACGTCTGTGTGCAGTGTTGCCTTCACTTGTCGGCCCAGATACTGGAGAGAGGAGGGGGCGGAGGCGGCGTCAGCCAGGGAGCGAGACAAAGCTTGCAACGTTTGAAAGGAACAGAATGAAGCCACCAAAGGACGCTCCTGTGCGGGGCAGGAAGGGGGGAGCCAGGAGGACTCTGCTCTCAGTGGCTCATTGCCTGGAGAGGCTGGGATGGCAGGGAACAGGCGAGGCTGGCAGCGGCACAGGACTCTGGCAATCGGTGCTTGTCGGCTATCCAGAGGCCAGGAACCGCTCCAGGCTTGCAGAGCTGAGCAAACAGATGGAAAATTCCACCTGTTTACTCCCCTGCGATCCCGGGGAGGACAGGCTGCCCGGGCCCAAGGGCAGAAGAGCTATGCAGGGATAGCCTCTGGCACAGGAGAGTGTGGCCAGAAACACTTTATTAACTTAAGTCTGAACTCTGCCAGGATCTTTGCTGCGAGGGGAGGGCGAAGCTGGCTGGGGCAAAGCCAGGAGAGCCATTCTGGGCTGGGGTAGAATAGAGCATCCACCAACATCTACAGCTCCTGCTAAAACAGGTCCTGGTAGAACCAAGAGCCCATCTCCCCAACAATCTCTATCCTGTTAGTAGTTACCATGCTGAAAATGCTTCCCCAGCCTCACCTAAGGGCAGGCCCAAGTCCTTCAGCCATCAGGTGGGCTCTACAGGTTTCCTGCATGACCTCCGGCAAGTCACTTAGTATCTCTGTGCCATAGTTCCCCGGGCATAAAATGTGGGCAAACACTACAGACTTTGACAGAGGCATTTGGGTTGGACAGTCACTACAATGGAATGGTCCTGGGGTAGAAACCTGCAGATCATTTTAGCTCAAGGATGCAAAGTTTGAGCTGCATGAACACCTGCCTTTCTGGCTCCTGAGACAGAGACAATGGTCTTGAGTATTATAAGGGGAACGTGGGGACAGAGGGACCAGCTCTCTCCGAGCTTGCGGAAGTTGGATCTGCTAGTCCAGTGTTTGTCAACCAGCGGTATGAGTACCCCTAGGGGTACTCGAAAGAAGTCTGGGGGATACGTCAACACAACTGAAATGTGGAGAAAACTGAATTTTGGTTTTAAGTTTTACAGCGCTTTATTATTTTTGTACTTTTTATACCCACAAATTTCATCACCTGCCCAGCTACGATTAAGTTGTTTGAACAAATGTGTTGCAAGGATAGATTTTTTTTAAAGGGCACTTTATAAAAAAAGGTTGAGTAACACTGAGCTAGTCTGAAGATGTTGGTAACTTGATGTAAGAAAACTGCTTAGGCAAAGACTGCAACTTGCTAACATGTTACTACAAAGCATGTTTTGTTCTGTCTGTAATCAGACCTGCCTCTTACTCTTGCTTATTATCCTTTCAGTCTCTGTTCTTTGTTCATAAAAAAATCCTTTTTTCTTAATTTTGCTACAAACCATCTCCCTACTGCTATACTGAAGTGAAGCCTACCTCTCCCCCTGGCATGTGCACTGTCTTTTTGGAGGCAGCGCTCGTCACAATTTCTGCAAGAGCCCACTCGGGAGCTTGGGGAGGTTCAGGCTGGAAGCTTTTGCAGGCTGACAGGTGTAGCCAGACAGACCAACCCCCCATATCATCCATCTTATTTGCCTCTCTGAAGCATACAGGGCAGAGAAGGAGCAGTAAAATCAGCATAGTCTATGCTGGCTCATCTGATCCTGAGAGAGCGATTAAGGCAATAAGCTGGCCTCGAGGCTGCGAGAACTGCCCCGGCTGGCACCCATGTTGATTCGAACACACACACAGTCCCTGGGAGAGGAATTTCCCACTGAGAAAAGAATCCCCAGTAATTCCAATTTAGTTATCTCTCTTACAAGTGTAAATTAAGTTCACAACTCCCTTGTAAGAACTGGTCTCACAGCAGACAGACCAGCCCCATTTGGCATGACAGACAAGAAAGAGAAATACGTGACCCCATGAGTATAAAAGATGGGTCCAGCACACACTCACTTTGAGTGTCATTCTACCCTCTACCTGCTGGTCGGGTTAGGTGTTTGACCTCCCGAGGTTCTATGGGGATGTCCACCTCGTATTTTCGTCTTTCCTAGGAATTGAGGGACCGGCCCTGGCCTGACATGCTGGAGTCGAGAGGCACAGAAGGGGGTAAAAATTGTACCTGGATGTGGTCCTCTGTCTTAAGTGTACACAGAGAAAGAGTAAGCTGTTACTTGGTACCATTATTTCTATTTTTCTATCTTTATCTTCTTTGTAACCATTTTTAAGATCTATATTTTGCTAATAGTTAAGAAATAGAACAATAGCCATTGCAACCATATGATTTATAAGCTTCCTCAATAAACCTGTAACTGTTTAAGCTTTAACCTGACTCCTTCAGTTGCTGTAACAGAACCAAGAACAATTTAAAAGAACTTCAGCCGGTCTTAAGGGACAGATATAGGGAGCCCTGACCGTCGGCTGACAGAACAGGCCAGAGAACTGACACCTACAAAGCGCTCTCTTTTGCTAAGGCAGAGGGGTCCACAATGGCTTGCAGCTGTGAGCATCCTACCCAAGATGTCTCACTCTCCTTATGTTCCATGATAACACTTGGCCAATTCAGAATCACAGGAAGGCCCATCTTTCAACATCAAGTTGCTGAGATTGCATCCATCTAGTGGTAACACTTGGGAACTGAAAGCAACTGGAACTTCTGCTCAGCCCAGAGGCATACAAGTCTGGAGGGAGAGCAAGGTGTCAGGAAGTGTTCTGGGGCATGCCCGCTCGGTATCTAAAGTTCCCAAGGAAGGGAAGCGAGCTGCAAAGTGGCTGAAGGGAGCCATAACTCTGAGTAATGAGAGAAAACCAAGTAAGGGCTTCGAAGGGAAACAGGAACGCAGCACTCAGATGTTTAAAAGTAGTCTAGAAAAAGCACGCAGGACAGGGCTTCCTCCAGCAGTGTTCTTTGTGCCCTAAACTCCCATGGGCTTAAAGGCAAACAGCTCTTCGCTTTGCAGGACTGGGCTGCTTGTGAAAGCAACAGGCCTGCATTGAGCCAGAGAGCGAGAATAGGACTGCTACAATAGCACCCAAGAGGTATTTTTCCTTCTCTGGTTTCTATTATGGAAGTTATGTATCTGCACCAAGTGCCAGAATGAGCCAACTTCAAGAGCAAGGCCTTCACCGGTGACAGGTAAACTCTGATGTGAAGGGATTGGAACCAGTTTCCATCCAACAGCCAAACGGGTTCAACAACTGGAAGAACAACTCCAAAGTCTCTGGTGTAACTAGAAAATAGTTGGAAGGATTCACAGGTCTTATAACCACTGAATGAGCAGCACAGCCGGAGGGATTTGGAAAGCAGTTCCTGCTGCCCACATCTAGTTCGACGTGTGTCACAAATTGACACTTTTCTGGTTCACTGCCACCCAGGAGACACAAAGGCTGAGGTAAGAACGCTTTGCAGATCATCCAAAGATGCTCAAACACATGACAAAGCTAAAGCACCCCATGCTGCCGTGAACCTCTGCCCAGAAATTGCAGAATTCTGCAGCCACACCCAACACCCAGTTGTGAAAGAGGTAACATCAAGTGCTGTGGTCCAGTAACATGCCATGTAAATTATCTTGTAAAATTCCGCTCAAAAATGAATGAGCAAAACACATGTAAAGTTACCGCAATAATGTAAGAAATAAAATACATTTTTGTTCATTACTATATTGGGATAATTGTGTGTTAATTTTTAACAAACTATGGTAGTTTAAAATATTGTTCCATTCATCTTAAAATGCCTTATCACCACATCGGCTGGGTTACGTCTCTTCTCAATCTGCATACTCCATCAACGGGGGGACCAAAACCAGACCCATCTTATCTGGTAAGACTGTGAGGTAGAGACACGAAGACCATCGCAAAGAGGGATTCCCAAAGGAATGTATATATGACAGGCTCCGGCCTTGAACTGGAACCAAATGTAAGAACCCAACAGAGAATCTAGGGAACATCACACAAAAGATGAAATAGAGCTTGGAAGATTTGTTCAGGGATCAGCCTAGTTACTGACAGATCCGTATGTGCAGTCAGGTATTGCTTGTAGTTTACTTCCATTTTAGAAGTGGGGGGCATTTCCCCCCCACGGTAACAGGTGCAGAGGAATATTATATTTTCCTCAGAGCAAAACTAAGACCTGGAATCCACACAGGATTAAAATCCTACCAATTTTGTGTCTCAACATTCCAAGCTCATTTTAAGTTCTCTGACTAGTATTCTTTAAACTGGATAGAAAAAGGTATCTAAGAACCCAGGTATTTTAAACACCTTTGGCACATATGGCTGGAGGTAGTCAGAGGCGGGCGGGTGGGTGCCTATGTCTGCCTTTCTCTCTCAGAAGAAGCCAGCTCATACTGGGATGGAATGTGTCTGCTGGTAAACGCTGGGAAGCAAGTGGCAGGACTCAAACTTGGATTCCTGGCTTTACCCCTGATGTACGTGTGGCTTATGGCATGTCACCTTGTCTGCTCGTATCTGTTTAGCCTTCTTAAAAATGATACTCACCTGGTTGATCGGGCGGCTCCAAGGTTTAATGTCTGCCACGTGCTTGGCAATGATCTGATGAAAAGCATTACAGAAGTGCAAACGGTTCCTGGTGGTACTGAGACTATGTGATCACTCGACGATTGCCTGTTCTGTTCATTCCCTCTGAAGCACCTGGCACTGGCCACTATCAGGAGACAGGCTAGATGGACCATTGGTCTGAGCCAGCATGGCCATTCTTATGTCTCTGGCCCCTTACCCTGTGCAGATCTGTAAGGGAAACGATCAGCCGCAATGCCATACACACGGCAGCCCTTAAAACGACTGCACCTTCCCTTTGTGTTTAAAGAGCCAGCTCGAGTCCAGAGCCCTGGGGTGGTACGTCTGTTTCCAGCCTAGGCAATGGAGCAAAACACACGGGCAGGGCCATCATATGAAGAGGTAGAAGTTTATTGGAATATAAACATTCAGATAACATGTAAGATAGAAAAACCCAACAACAACATATACAGACACTTGTTGGAAGCAGACGTCTGAGGTATTTATCCACTGCCTAGGCTATCACATTTTTTTTTAAATAGGTAACAAAACTAGTAGCAAGGCTGCTGCTATGCAGTTAAAATGTCTTCTGGTCTGAATCCATTTGGAGATCATACGCAGCAGCCCAAGGACCGTGTGACACATTCACATTTGCGAGGAGCTGACTGCTAACAGCTCCGCCCATGCAGTGTAAGAGGCTTGTTTCGGAGCTGGACTCCGTCCTGTCAAACCTCGCGCGTTACCGGAACGCTCCGGCATCGAATGTAAGAGGACAGGAGGCGGTGCTCGGTGCGAACCTGGCTTGGAAGCCAGACAGCACGTCTGCACCCACTTCGTTCGGAAAGCAGAGCGCTAGGCTGCTGCTGGTCCACTGGGCCTTTGCCTCCAGTTGAGAAACCCAAGTTGTTTTGGCGTTTCACGGTGGTCGGACACACTGCAAAATGGAACACGCCATGCCAGGAACAGTCCTCCCTGCAATATCAAAACCCCTGAGTGCCATACAATCGTCAACATTCTGAGTTCAATGGATTGGAGCGGAGGAGACACGGCTCCCCTCCCAGCCCTCCACCCTGTATCTGCTGCTGGTTTTGG